TGCTAAATTGGCCAGCTATTACCTAATCCTGTTTTACAATGAAAAACTGTCACTGCACTATCCAGTCCTTGTGTCTTTGAACCAGCAGAGAGTAGCAGTGCTGATTTAAAAAAACTGTGAGGTTTTGCTCAGATTCCTTTTCATTCCACTACTCTTCTCTCGGCCCAGAATGGAGGTTTATCGTGCTCCCAGAGGTGTGCCCTGCTCCCAAAGGAGTATCCTGTGCCAGTGGTCACTGGCTGTGGGGCAGTGATAGAGCTGCCCCACCGAGGAGGAAGTGGTGGCACCACTCTGCCAGGTGACAGTGGGTCCTTCTGGGGCTGTGCAGTGTCAGCAGCGTTTTTGACGCAGCAGGTGTCCTCTAGCTGTGGTTTCACAGGCACAGACAGGCAGTTGTGCTCCATCTACGAGTGTACAAACTTGTCCCTCAACAGAGCACTGTGCTGGCCACCCAAGACTTCGGTCCCAAGGTGTTTCAGAGAAACTTGAAGAACTTGGGAGAGAAAAGCTGAGCTACAGGTAGCAAAGGAGGTGTTGCTTTCTCTGGAGAAAAGATTTAAACTCTTCCTGATATTTTTGCTGAACTAAAACTGTTCAAGCCATGTCAGGGAAAGAGACAATGGGAGGATGACACAGCTCTCAAGTTGGCAGATGTTACTGGCCGGTAGCACTTGCAAGGGGTTACTGAGGGCAGTGAGGGAAGCAGAAGTGGTGCCAGTGTCTTGATCTCTGCATGTATTACACGGGGTCTAAACCACCTGAGAACTGGCTTTTATTTTCACATTTCATTTGCCCTTCACAGCAGCAGAGCAAAGGAGGAATGGGCCCAAGGCCTTCTGGCAGCTGTGTTTGTGGGAGTGCAGTTAGGTGTCTGCTCCTCATCCTACCTTGGGAATAGGGCTGGGGTGGAACTTGTGGGATATTTGCTGTCTGGCTCATCCATCGAGGAATATTTATTTGTTCATTAATTTATTTTATGAAGATTGTACAGACTACACAGTGGAGTTCCTCACTGATCAGTCTTTGTTCAGAGTTTACAAACCATGACTTGACGGAAGTAAAACAGCATAGCCTGACTTCTGCTCTTGGGGCTTGTGGTGTATGGCAGGGTACTAGGGGAGAGATTGTAACAACAAGCCACAGTACTGTGCCTTTGTAGAGACAGTTATTCCACTTCTTGGTTGCTTTGTTGATTGGGTTTTTTCTTTATTTAAGTTTTTAAAGCATATAAACAGGACTTTGATGTTCTCATTGCACTGGAATAGAAAAGCAATTGCATGAAGGGGACTATCCACACAAAATTAGAAAATAGGGTGCTGGTATAGCTTTCTGTGTACATTCAATTTCTGTTAAATAAAAAAGAAGTAAGGAAGCATACAAGGGGTGGAAGCAGTTACCCAGGACTTTAGGGACACTGAGCGCACAAGGATGTACTGAGAAAAGTCAAAGCCCTTGGGGAGTTGGACGTGGTAAAGGGTGGCAAGAAAGGCTCCTGCAGGTATGTTGGCAGCACAAGGAAGGCAAAGGAAAACATGGGCCCACTGCTTCTGAGGGTATGAAGAATACAGAGCCAGGCTCTTCTCAGAAGCACCTAGGCAAAGAAACAAGTGACAAAGGGTACAAACTCAAATACAGAAAATTCCACTTAGGTGTAAAAAAAATGTTTTTAAATGTAAGGGTGAATGAACACTGGAACAGATTGCCAAGAAAGATTGTGGAGTCTCTGTCCTTGGAGATGTTCCAAACTGGACTAGGCACAGCCCTGAGCAACCTGTTATTGCTGACCCTACTTTGAGCAGGGGTTTAAACTGAGCGATCTCCAGAGGTACCTTCCAACCTCAACTAGTTTGTAATTCTGTGAAATTCTATAAATTGCAATTTAAACAAATAGCTGTGGTAGCACTTTGGATTAACACTTAAATTATTTTCTCTGTAAATCAATTGAATATTTGTTATCAAAACTCTGTCAACTTAATTTAACCCAGACCTAAGTGTTCCATAAAAGCTTTTATTGAATCAGAGACCAACAGAAATGTGTGCAGCTTTTGATTCCAATGAAATCAACCTGTGGGGGTTTTTTAACAAATAAATAGTCTTTTCTGAAAGTGAAACTGGCTGGAAGCAAAAGTGAAACTTGCTTTATTGCTTTTCTTCATTCAAACTGGGAGAAATAGGAATAGTAAATGGAGGTCATAGGTAGTGCTATGTGCAAGTAAACAGAATTAAAAATATTAATTTTTTTACCATAGCGATGCCACTTCTAGTAATACAGTGAAGAAGTTGTTACCCTTATTACATTGATAGAGCCCTTTTGATCTTTCCTTTGAGCTTTATGTAGCTCTTCCTCTTTTCATCACAATGCTCCTGCCCAGCTCCAGTACTTTATGGTCATAAATACCTGTAAGATGCAAGTTGCTATAATTTGTGACTGTAAGAGGTAGACTAGCATAAATTATGCAAAAAAAGAGAGTAATTTACTCTGGAATGGGTGCAGCCATGTGCTGTCATTGGCTCCAAGAGGAGGGATACTCATTTGTGCCTGTGTGTGCCGAGAAAGGTGAAGGCTGAGTTAAAGCAGATCAGGCCTGCTTTATTTTACACAGTCCTCTTAGCTGTTTTGCTGAAAATTCTTTCTGATCCTGAAGTCCATTTCTGTTGTTGGGATGGTAACTTGCACACATTTCTTTTGCCACTTATACCCACGAACAGCCACATGTTACTTGCCATCCTGCATCCTGGCTGCAGCTGCAGCTGCTGACTGTGAGCTACACATGGTTGACTGTAATTCCTAGGAAATGGTGTACCTTGATTTGGTTGGGCTTATTTTAAGTAGCACATTATGCAGTGTGGGTTAAATTAATGTATATTAATAGACTAGTGGTACTGCATGGGACTTAAGAGAAAATACAGAGAGATTATATGTGGGTAGCTGACAGCATTTTTTTAATTGCTTCTAAACTGAAATAGAAGAGGTCTGTGACCCTCTACATTCCTTAAGCAGTGTACAGGAGTTTGTGTCTGTGTAGTTCCTTCCATTGCAAGCTTTCTCCATACTTGTTATATATGACATATAGATATTCCTTCATATACCTGCTGCATGGACTCCCTCCTCCTTCTCTTGGCAGTAATGCTGATACTTGGCAGGAACAAGGATCTTTTCTTGCCCCTTTTATTATGAGTGAACTTTCAGTACATAAACAGATTCTTCTTTAACTAATTTAATATGCACAGTTTTATCTTATTTGTTTTGTCTTTCTTCCAGCTCCGTCTTGAGTTGACTCACTGTAAAAGGTTTATTGGAATTTTTGAAGTTCCTAATGCAAACTCTGGTCCAGCAAGATTGCTGTAGTCCAATAATACTAAGCCTACTTTTCTTAATTCTTAAATGTCTCCCTGCCTCCTTTCCTTGTGGAATAGGTGAGAAAAGCAATTGGCTCCACTACATAATGCATCCCAGCTCAAAAACTCACTCCTTCCGTGTAATTTTGAATCCCAGCCCAGCTGGTGGTTCCTAGAGTTTAGGCTCTGAATATGAGTTCAGCACTTTCAAATGAATCACTCAGAACAGTACTCCTGTCAAAGAGTTTTCTTTTTTTTTTTTTTTCCGGAAGGTTTTCCTGAATTTGCAGATACAGACCCTGACAATGCAGCAAAAAATACTAAAATTTTCAGGGTTTTTTCCGGTTTCTTTAAAGTGCTTGTTTTCATTCTATTGTGTTTTAGTACAACAAAGATGTGTGGGACATGCTACTTTTGCATGTAATTGGCCTTGTTCTTACTTATTTGTGATTTTGTCAAGATTTTAATTGACACTTCAGTGTTTTTGTGAAGACCTGTCTTTTGAGGAGCCCTTTTTACCTTTTTTCATGAGCTGTTAGTGGGGTAAAGATTGTCCTTTTCATCTGCTGCCTGTGGACAGTTCTTTTCAAAAAGGAGTTAATGAATAATATCCCAGCTCTCACCAGGAAGTTTGGGTTTTAATAACCTGCCTGCTTATGAAAACATATTATCAACTCTGAAAACAGAAACAGTGAAAACACATAATGAGCTGGGATAGATTTCCAGTTTTGATCATTAGCACACAGCCCTGATCTTCATCTTTAGTTTCTTATTGGTACTGGTTGGATTGATGGAATAGGGTGTGGATTGATTAAATAGGCTGTAAAGGAAATCACGTAGCTTTCTTTTTTAACTTTATCCCAAGGATAGTTGTTCACTACCATGCTCCTTCCATAGAGGCAGACAGAGGCTGTAAGGTGCTGGTGCCTTTGTTGAACTCTGAAGGGCAGAAACACTTTTCTGGTTAGTCTGGGTGAGGATCATTGCAGCTTAATGCAAATAGTTAAACACGAAACTACCAAGGGGGGCTTCTGATAAAATCTTGCCTATTTAATGATTACAAATAAAAAGTGTCAAAATACATATCGGAAGTATCATAATTTACTTCTAATGTTTCATTCATAGTAGTATTCACATCTTAAAAAGAGAAAAAATACTCATTTCCTCCCTGTGGCATGTCTTCTATACTGGAGGATCCCATTTGATTGTTTCCTGTCCAACAGTCATTCTGCAGCTTTTATTATCCTTGCCACTCTTCTCCAAGCCTTTTCTATTTGTATATCCATTTTAGAAGTGGGATCAGAACCAGATACAAGGGCTCTGTGGATTTATGCACTGATACAATCATGCTCTCTATTTCTTTCACAGTGATTTCTAACATTTAATGTGCTGTTTTCTTCTGACAATTCTCTAATTTGAGCTGAGGTTTTCATTATCTGTTATACTATCTGTATTACTTGATTGGCTATTTTGTTACCTATACTATGCCATCCAGATCTTCCTCTTGGTGCAGTAATGAACTTGGAGACCTTCAATTTATAAGTAAAGTCAGAATTGTTGATTCCAATGTGTGTCCCTTTACATTTACTTACATTAAATTTCATTGATCATTTTGTCAGCCAGCAATTTGTTTCATAAAATCCTTTTGTGTTTCTTCCCAGGAGCCCATGTCTTCGCCACCTTAGTCATCTTCCCAGCCTTTGGATGAAGCATCTGAATCCCCAACATTACTTCTGGAGCCATTTAAAAAACAGACTTCCTAAAAGCCACTGCTGGATGATGGTGACTGATGCTGAAAGTGTAAGTTCCAGGCAGCAGGGTGAAAAGAGGGTCTTGCAGTCAGGTTCCTGAATGTGGAAAGCTGACGTACTTATGCATTGTGCAGCTTTAGTTATTGATAGAAGTAGCTAAAACAGAGCTCTTGAATGACTGTGCAGGGTGCTGAACAATATTTTTCCCCAGTTGGGCCCCTCTCCATATGTCCAGTATTATTACCATAACAGTTTTGTTATATAAATGAATGATTTTTGTAATGATTTATCCACTCTACCATTATTATGTGACCAATCTCCATTACTAGATCTTATTCAGACCTTTACAATGGTAATATATGCAGCTTTGTAGTCCAGAACACTCCCTGCTCTTTAGGCAGTTAGACCAGATCAGATGTGTGTTATTGGCCACTAGAGCACGCCTTCATATGTTCATCAAACACAAGCCTGGAAATAGCAGTCTGGGCCTGCATCCCCACAAGAATGAGGTTTCAGTGTGGCCATACAGTGCCAAAATTGTTTCCCTGGGATGAGAGTGAACATTAGTAAATTTTATGAGACCAAAAGCATTTTGGTCTTTTTTCCTCCAACTGTTCATAGATAAAGAAAAATGGTAAAGAGTGGGAAGAAACATTGAAGTGACAGTCATTTCACATTCAGATTTTAACTAATGGTTCAGATATTCAGACTTGTGATGCTGTAGTGTGTTCTTCTGCCATTAATACAGGTGCTGCTATGAAATTCTTTACTCTTTTCCTTTTGATCCTGAGTCAGTTGTTTTCCCTCTCAGGCTGACTTACCTGGCAAATGAGCCATTTTGATCTTTTGTTTTATGACAGAAGAACTGTAGGACAATAAGCAATAGATGGAAGTGGTGGTTTTAAATGATCACCAGACTAAAATTAAAGCTGCTATTCTCTGTGATCTACAAGATGTTCCAGTGCCTTTAGAGGCATTGTGCCACTGGACTATACAGACAGGATCTTCCACAGGAAGCTGTGTCTTAGGGCTAAGGCTTCAGTATGGAAGATCTGAGGAATCTTGCCCTTAGGAGGCAAGAAGTATGTGCCTACATTGTGACTGAGAGAAAATCCTTTCTGTTGGTTTGGCAATTCAACAGTGAGTTCACACTGGGGAGGACAAAACAGATCCTAAGTGTTTACTATTCCTAGTTTATTCTTTTTAATAGAAAGTGAAAGATCAAAACAGCCCATCTGCCAATGAAATGAGATGAAAGTAGTAATTTGGCTGACAGACTTCTAAATCCATTCTCCCAAACATTTTATTTTGTCATTGATTTAGCCCTGACAAACTTTTATTTCCCGTGCAGCTTTTCCAAGGGCTAGACTTTATTTCCTCAGTCAGCCTCTTTTTCTTAAAAGAGATACTGGAAGCATAAATGCATCTGATACATTATTTGTAACAAACTGGGAAAGATCCAAATGTCCAGCTACCAGGAGAAGTTTGCTGAAAGGGTAGTTAGCCACAGTGCCACACGTATAATTCTGGGGGGAGGTAAGTGGGAAAGGTTTGGAGCATAGTGACTTGCCAGAGAAAGACACAAGGGTGGTCTGGGCAGCGTAGCAGAGCATCCTTCACAGGAATTTCAACTTAAGTCACTTTTCTGTTCATATTTGGTGTTCAAAATTGCATAATGCTATCAAACAGAATTGTGTCCTCTGTATCATCTGCTTCCCTATTAAGGAGGAAAAATCCTGTCAGAGGGAGAACCTCTATCCTGTACTGTGTTATAGGGAACAACTTTTTCAAGTTCCCCAAAAAACTCTGCTTTAGCAGTTGCTTGGTTTATGGTTTCAGTATATATATGGAGGCCCAAATGCTCTTACACAGAATCTATACAGATGCATATCCTGAAATTCTCATGGGTCTCTGAGGGCTGGACAAAACCTGCCTTAGAGCAGAAGAATTCTTAAAGTTCTTTTTTTGGTTGTTGTTTGTTTGTTTGTTTGTTTGTTTGTGTTTTTGTTTGTTTGTTTGGGATTTGGTGGTTTTTTTCCCTTTTTTGTTTCCTCTGCAAGAATGATACCAGTTATCACTGCAATGATAACTTCGTACTCTTACAGCATATGATGCAACACTGTAAACTTGGCTTGCAGAGCAGTTGATTTGTTCCTCTAAATTTTGTTTATTGCTGGCATATGGATATGAAAGGGCATAATTTTGGTAGCTAGATCTAATCAGCACTTTGTATATAAAGTGCATCAAAAACACACATCAATAGCAGTCGATCTTAGTGTGTCTGCATTCCAGATCGTTGTGTAGTGTAAGTTAACTGTTCCTTTCATTTCTCCTGGAGCCCAGCTGGTCTCGCTTAATTTCACACTATTTTATATTCTGTTTATTACTGAGGCCAACAAGTATTTTATTTTAGCTGTTTGTACATATTAAACAAACATGGGATCTGGGCGGAATGTCTCTGGCAGAAACATGCTAATTCCTTATACCCTCAGAGTCCATTCCACACTTGAAGGAGTGGACTCAGCCAATTAAATTAGGCACCCAAACAGGAAAACCACAGACACATGATTACACTTTCAGCCAAAGCTAAACGGTGCAGCATGAAAGTCGTGTTGTTGTTTGGCTTTTTCACAGTGAGGCCTGCGTGAACAGAGGCAGCTGGCAATGTCTCTGTCAGAGCCTGCCTGCGGGACACAGGAGAGAGGGAATTCCTGCTTCGTGGGGCTGGCAGGATCATCTCCTCCATGAAAAGATCATCATAGGTGTGCAGCAACAGAACATAACATTTCAGTTTCCAGATAGTGTTTTAGGTGTCCAGATACTGGAAAAGTCTGAGGATTGTAGGCTTCCTTTTTCCACAGACCTCTGCCCTGGGCACTACTCACAATGTTCATGAATCTCACAGAGCTGCTGACTAGGTTGGACTGTCAGGAGAGGTGGTGAGTGCCCCTCATCATGGGTGCCTGGTGGTTGAGAAACATGCACAGAAGATATTAGTTTGGGCATTTGCAGGAACATTTCAGTCTTGTCAGATCTAAAAAGAAAGGGCACTGCTATAAAACTCCATTTAAAATAAAAGAGTAAGCCTGCTGTTTTTGTTGAAATACCATGGTGCAGACAATTCTGTGGTGTAACTGCAGGATAGCTAGAGACATCTTTTTCTTGGTCTATTCAGATGCCTGAGCATCTCTCATTCAGGGAGGTAGAGATTTAGATCCAACCTGTGTTAATGCATCTTGCTGACTAGTTCTGGTGGCTCTTCTGAAGAGCACTGTGCCAAGCTGTTACTGCCAGCATTTCCTAAAGTTCTCATTCTTTGATTAGGAAACTTTGGCCTAACACTGGTTTTGATGTGCACCACTTCAGTGGCTGGATGCCCAAAAGTTCGGTGTACCAGTGTGCAACTTGTAGGACTTCATCTACCTAGCCCTTAGCTACTAGGATGGTATCTACATTAGGAACCCTTAAGGGTGGTAGAAATCTGAATACAGGCTGCTTGTCCAGTGCTTTAGGGAGTGGCAGTGGATGATCATTGTGACTGTGGTCTGTCATGATGAAACACAGCTGTGTTACTTTATTTATTGTTAATAGAGACTGAGCTGTATATTGTGTTCTTACGCTGCCATTGCCAGACTATAGCTGGAGAGTGCCTGGGACTATGAACTAGTGCTCAGTAAAGCTGTCTGGTTTCACAGTGTCCTTTGTGGAGTATATTAGACTGTGAGCTGTGCTGACCTCTTTTTTTTGATTCTGAGGAAAGCTTGAGTGGTGTTTTTAATTCTGAAACTGTAAAGAGTTTGGTCCTTGGCTACCTTAAAGACACATCTTCACTACGTGGGGTGCCGCAGTGATTAAGATTGGCTGCAGTAACCAAGCTAGCAGTACCCTCCTTTAACTGGGAAAGAGCTTGTTACTGTCCTCTTTTAAAATTCTTCAGATCTGAAAATTGTTTTCCAGTTCTTTGTTCCAGAATAGGCCAGGCTTCTTGATTTAGCCCATGCATCTTATAGTAGCTATTTTATTTTCTAAAGAACTGAGCCAAGTTGCATGCAAGCATTTTTTTTTTTGCTTGACAGATGTACTTTCTGATGGTTTGATGGTATTGTAGATATTGATTACAAGTTTCGTATTGTTCCCTCAATAAAAACTGCTTGAGCATGGTATTTATAGAGTAAGATAACTCAAGAGTGATCAAAGGTGTGCAACTCCTGGTTTCTCTGTGAACTGAAATTTTGTTAGTCTTTTCTCATGCTGGTGGGTGGAAAAGGCCAAGGGATGGTTGTTTGCCTAATGAGGGCAGGATACAGCTGGGAGGAAGCTTGAAACTCTCTAGCAGGGTCTGCAAACAATCTAGTCACATCAAATAGATGCCCACTGTTTGCCAAAAATCAGTGAAACAGGGAGATAATGAGGGAGATAATGAGGGTAATGAAATAAAGAAAAAGAGAGCACTGTTGTTCTTTAATGCAGTGACCTTTTTTGAGATGTGTCATTTACACGGGTGTTTGTGTGAGTGTTGGCCCATGCTGATTTTACAGTACTTAGTTGTGTGATGGCTGCTTACCAAAGCTGCGGAAGCACCCTGTGGCTGGCCTCGCTCTAGGCTCGATAAGCTGTTGCAGTAATGCTGTAGTTAATGGTTTTTGGAAAAGTTGATACCTATCTGCATTTGAAGGAACACATTTTGGCCTAAATATTGAGAAATCACGGGTATGTTATGCAAATCCTGGGTGTGCCAGCCAAGCCTGTAGAAGAAAACTCATTAGGATTAATCTCTAGTAGGGTGACTAATGCAAAGGGAATGAGGTACTTTCCTCCCTGAGTCAGCAGAGGTTTGACATAGCTTTCAAAGGGGCTTCACTGGAATGCAATCAGTTGCTTTGTGCAATAGGTATGGTAGTTTATTTAATTTGGAACTGCTTGCTTTAGACCAGAGAATACTGTACTAAATTGAGAGAGACACGTAGCTGCATACTCTACTAATAGATTTAAACCAAAATATCTTACTCAGTTTGAAGAAATGAGGTGCATAATTATCTAATGTACATT